TTAAAAAATTTAAAAGCCCCCCACTGCCAGAGCTGTAGGTGAGGCATTCTCAGAGGCGGGGGAGGTTTGGGCGGCTGTGCCTCTGCCAATAATGTTAATTTGATGCGGGGGGTGTGAGCCGTCTTGCTGGGGAGAGGCTCCGGGAGGTGCCCGCGGGTTAGGGAAAGCGTGTGAAAGAAGGGCAAATGCTGCCTGCAGGTGACCTGGAAACACGCCGACAAAAAAGCGATCCTTGTGCCGGAATGGTGATGAGGGACTGAGAAGCAGGGGCGATGGCGGCCCGGGCGCGCCGTGCCTCGGGGTCGGTTCCTCGTCACGGTGCGCGGGGTGAGGGGGGGTGCAGAGCTACAGCTGCGGGGGGGGAGAGTGCCTGTGGGTACCTGAGGTGTAAGGACGCAAGCGGAACGGAAAGTAACGTTTCACTGTCATAGCTTAAAGCTGTAGAGCGGGGGAAGAGATTTCTGTACCTTGATGTGTGGCAAAAAAAAAAAAAAAGTAAAAAACCGGCACGATCCAATGGATTTCTCTTTTTCCTCTTGATGGTCTAGGAGTGGGGTTTGCAACACGACAGGTGGGGAATGTGACTAAACCCACTGTGATTATCAGCAGCGAGGGGGACAAAGTAGTGATCAGGACTCAAAGCACTTTCAAAAACACAGAAATCAGCTTTAAGCTTGGAGAGGAATTTGATGAAACTACCCCCGATGATAGAAACTGCAAAGTAAGTGAACTCTGGGGCTGCAGTGGCTTCTTCTTTCTCTTCTTCCTCCCCACCACCGCGGCTGTATCTTTGGTAGGGTCAAAGGGAAAAAATGAAAGGTCTGCTACTGCCAGTGGTAGCACTGTGAAAAAAAAGGCAAGATTGCATCTTATTTGCCCACTTACACCGTGTCTTGTCTGAGGCAATATGTTAGGTCACCAGCCCCCGTCTGCCTTCTGTGTCGAAGAATTGTTAGCTGCCCACTTCTCTTTAGAGTTTTCAAGTAACGTTTTCCAGCTGAAATGGGTAAATGCCTTCTTCCCTGCATCTTTGGGGGCTTAACATAAATGCTATCCCAAAGCACATCAGAAACTGTGGTTCTTGTGAGACTGGAACTCAAAAGAAACAACTTTTTCCATGCTTTGACACAAACAAGAATTGTAGGGAGCTCATGCTTAAAACAAGGATGATTCATGGGCTTGGCTTTAAAATGGCTGGGACTAGTTTATCATTCTAGATCCACATCCATCTATTGAAGAGAATTCAATAGCATAGTGCATGCAGTATAAGTGAGCAGAATCTCAAACACTCCAAATAAATGAATGTCTTTGTGTTTCTTGGTATCTCACAGTCAGTTGTGACCCTGGATGGAGACAAGCTAGTGCACGTACAGAAGTGGGACGGCAAAGAGACAAACTTTGTGAGAGAAATAAAGGATGGCAAAATGGTAATGGTAAGTATAAAGTTCACTGGGCATTCGCATATCCCACTTAACACTCCTCACGTATATTTATCTCGGGCTTTATGAACAGATACTTATACACAAACCCTTAAACCCTTACTTATACACAAACCCTTAAACCAATTGGTGGGGAAAGCTAACAGATTTTTCAAATATTTATTTTGCTTTTTGTCTTGTTTTACTGACAACTAAAAAACTGCTAGTGGTTTTAGGCAGGTCAGTCTGTGGATTTGGAGTGTATATGTTCTCTCTAGAGTTTGTATAAATGCTCAAGCAAAAAAAGTCCTGGTGAGCAGGAAAAGATAGAGTTCTTGATTATATAGGCAATGGTCTGTTGCCAGTGCTAATTCAGATTTCTTTAAAAACGTCTTATATATGCACACATAAATTAATATATTACAGAGAACAAGTATTGCCCTAGGAAAATAAAGTTACAAGATAGCAGGAGGTAATAGCACTTCTGTATTTAAAAATAAAGGGTTTATTCCTCCTATCTTGTTAAAAATTACAATAAACAGCAATTGTGTGAAGAAAAGTCTTGTTTTAAATTCACATTCTTTTCCTGACTTTTCAGGAACAGGAGTATTGGGTGAATAAATATTGTAAACTACTATATCTAATGTCCAGGGTGGCACTTCTTGTGCTTAATTTTGGCACAGAGATGTAACTTTTAAAAATAAAACCTGTTTAGTTGTACTAATCTTTGACTTGGTTGTTGGAGCAAACCAATTAGCTTGTTTTCTAAATACTTCAGGGAGTATCTGTATGGATGGAGACTTCCAAATAATTAAAACCTTATACTCAGTGCAACACAATGTGACAAGTGATTCAAGGGAAAATTTGTTTTTGGAAACAGCTACACGCATATACAGAAAACCTTTTTCTTTGGTATTTGGACGTGACAAGATGCCCTGTTCCGCTTCAGGAAATACTGCCAAAACTCATACACTGTAGTTAGTGTTCTGCACAACTGCAGCAGCTAAGTGTTTGGTAGTTCTGGCTACATAAGTGCACAGAATGCATTAAATACAAGTATATGTATGCATAATAGTACAGAATATGGGTATAGAGGACTGGGATTTTTAGATTGCACATCTTGCAGTGTGATCAGCTTTGGGAGAATAATTGTTAAATCTGTATTAAAAACTATGCTATATTTAAGAAATTACATTAATGAAAATTAGAAAAATTAAACTTTTCTAGCCTCACTTTAGTTGCATTGTAGATGTGCATTATGTGTTTCTTGGGTTTGAAAGTAGCAAGGAGAAATGTTTATTATGGGAACCATTACTAAGGTCTTGCCTCTTATTCATTTAAAATATCAATAATCTGGATCAATTGTTTTTTCTATAAATTACATAATGTAAACTGACCTTGCTGTAGCATGGACTTCTGAATATGTGTTAAGTCATGACAGAGAATGGTCCAGCATCTAATGTGTCTTGTCTTTTCCTTGGACTTGCAGACTCTCACCTTTGGTGATGTGGTTGCTGTTCGCCACTATGAGAAAGCGTAGAGTTTGCCTCACCTCTGTCCAGATGTTACTTCTGCTGGATGGATTAATGTACTGTCCATAATCGAACATAGCTAAAATGCACATTTATGACATGAAAGGTTAATAAAGAGTTGGGGGGGAGTGTTTTTCTAAAAGAAACAAAAAAAAAAAACCCGAACAACTTTATGCCATCAATTTGACAAGCTTGTGCTGTATAGTGAAACAGGTTAAACTTGGCATTATATTTCTGAAACACTTGCCTCTTTTTTTACAGTAAATGGAACCTATTTGAATTGTTTTGGAATGCAGATCAAACATATTAAAAAGTTTTTTCAACCTGTGCTCCTTTTGCATTTAATCAGCTAATATTCCAGTATTCTGAAGGGAGTTGTTGAAAGTTCCTTTTTCAGTTAAACAGAAAATCATGTGTTGCACAGTGCTGTAACAGCATCTCTGTGTGGTGTAGAGTACATAGGAACTGAAAAATTGCATTCACTCCACTTGAGTGGCTTCTTTTTGCTGCAGAAATCTGAAGCCCCTGTCGTGATATGTGTAGGCAGAGAAGTGAGAGGCTCAAGCCACTTTCAGCTCCTCTCTTCGCTGGGAACTTGTTATCCGGTGCATGCTAAGGACAATAGGTAGACAGTCTTTGATGTCAGTTATGAGAGTTTTTAATTTGTTTTGGTGTGTTTTTGTTAATATACAAAAGATTGAAGGAAATCAAAGTGTTCCCCAGGGTGGGAGGAAAGGACCAACATGATAAAGGACAGGACTGGGGGCATGAACCTATAGTACAAAACTTACCTTTCATTAGCGTCCACGGGTGTGGGAGGAAAAAGAGAAAACAGTACAAGAGAAACATGAGATTCCTCTCCCTGAGCTGTATTTCATAGCTAATCTGTATAGGGGGTAAGAATTTCACTGTGAGCAATTTCAAATAAAATGCTACTTAAAAGAGATAAATTAAAACCTGAAGAATGTTTCTCTGTGAGACCAGAGTGGGGAAAACTGCCTTATGCTTCAGATTATTAGGAGAATTGAAACAGATGGCTGGCAGCATGAAGGAGATTCTTTGGAGTCCATGTTTTCTGACACACTGACTTAGTGGACCATATGGAGGTGCAGCTACCTACAGCCTTTCACACAAAGACAGAGCTGAGCTTAGCTTTAGCTGGTCTGTTCTCTGAGGGTTTGTGTGGTTGCAGAGGGAGGTGCAGGATGGGCATCCTGCCTAACTTCCTGGGCCTCATCCTGCACCACATGTGCCATCCTTCAGATCTGCCATGGTATCATGGGAAGCGGCTTCTTGTTTCCCTGGGTAACATGGGTAGCTCACCTCACTCATGATAAAAATTCAGATTTAACTATGGGACCTAACCAACATAAATACAAAGTTTAATGTTATTAGCTTCACTTTTTCACAAAGAATCTGCTTACAACGAATATCCAAGTTCTGTTTTCTCTTGTGGGGAACACTATACATCTAGAAGACAGTCCTTAATTATGAGCCATTATGTTTTACTTGGTGGATATTGATAGTTTTTAAAATTCAGGAGCTAACTTTTTTTTATCAGAGAAATAGGAAGTAGAACTTGTCCCAGTGGTATGTGGAGCTGCAGTTTCTATGTCTTGAGCTGCTTCAGCTCCTTCAACTGCTATAGAGCAAGTTATGTTTAAATCGCATCTTCTGCCCTTCCGTTTTATTAGCTCATTTAATCCTCAGCTTCAGTACCTAATACTGCTTTCATTTGCCTTCCCTCTGTTGCTGCCTGTTTGCCCACACAGGTGCATTTGCCATATGACTGTCCTTTTCAGCCACCGCTTCTCAGAAAGGTGGGAGCAGCTGCTTTCCCATGGTCACTGGGGAAAACAGACTTGGGTCCCCAGTACCAGCATTCATCTTCACAAGTGATTTTTAGGGTCACGAATTTAAAAAAAATTAGGTTTTTATTAAATATGAGGAAAGGAATTCAGAGACAGATTGTTAAGACTTGGTTTGCAAATAAAACCTGAAAGGTAAATATTTTACGCTACAGTCACTTTTAAATGAAGGCTACATACATAAGTTCTGTAAGTCACGAGAAACCATCATGAAGCTTAGTGGTGAAGTCTTTTGCTATTCTAAACTATCAATGTAAAATTAAATAAGGGACAGAAAAGTGGAGAAGTGGTGCCTGTGGCACTGCTCCGAGGAGTGGAAAAGTGAGGAAAACACTCACATATGGGACTTCCAGCTGCTGGTAAAATGGGTTTTCAACACCCTGGAGAGCTGATGTGAACAGAACAGCACAGTGAGCAGCGGGATGTTTGGGGGCAGCTACAGGATCCACAACATCATTATTCTAGTCTTATCCTAAATCTGACACCCAGTCCTTTTCCTTCACTGGAAACTGCTTTTACCTCAGAAATAAACATCAGCTCCGCTACCATAAGGCCTTTAGCAATGGAGACTCGTATTGACTACACAACTCAGCATTTTCCTTAAGCTGTATTAGAGGTTTAGTTGATGATTTATTTCATCAGCTTTTTAAATGTCAAAGTTCATGAAGTACCAGGATCCATTTTTTTGTGTATCCTGCGAGAAACCTTCCTTCCAAAAGATGCCTGAGGCTCCTGTGAGGCATCCGAGGGCTGCCTGTACAGGGCTGGGCTGGGCCGTGCCCCAGGGCGCCGGCCCGGCCCGGCGG